ACACACACACACACACACACACACACACACACACACACACACACACAGAGGGCCATAGCAGGAATCTATAGAATCCTAAACTAAAAAGATCAGGAGGGACTCCAGAAGTCATCTAGTCCAACCCCCTGGAGGGAATCTAAAGAATCCTAGAACAGAACGGCCAGAAGGGACCCTAGAGGTAATCTAGTCCAGCCTTCCTGGCCAGGGCAGAAATCCAATGAATCGAAGCCTAGAACACAAAAGCCAGAAGGGATCCTAGAGGACACCTAGACCCACCCACCCACCCCCCGGCCCAGGGAGGAATCCAACTATGCATTTTATTTTTATTATTTTTATTTATTTATTATTTTTATAAGGTTATTGCCAGAAAAGCTGGAAAATAACCTGAGTAGGTCATCCAGTCCAACAACCCCCAAACAAGGACGGGAGTTCAATGGATAGGATCCTGGAAGGGACCCTGAGGGTCATCTAGCCTGACCCCCCTCAACCCAGGGCAGGAATCCTCGTCTCCCCGGAATTTTGAGGATAGAAACCCACCTCCCTCTCACGAATGGGGGTCTCACCTGGGTAAAACAACACCAGAGCTTGCAGTAAGACGTACTCGGCTTCGTGCAGCCTCAGTTTCCGCAAACTGACATGGAATTTAAGCAGCGGCTCTAAATAAATCTGCTGAAATCCAGCTTGGGGAGAAAGAGGGAGGAAAAAAGAAAAACAGGAAAAAAAGTGGGGAATCAGAGATCTGTGACACTCTGGAATTCAACCTGTTTTTTTCTCTCTCCTTGGCTTGGATAAATACCTGTTTGGCCACAGGAGGGTGCTTTCACACAACCCAAGGCAGTGCGCACTTGTGAAACACACACACACACAAACACACACACCACTTTCCTAGGGGAAATCTCCATAATCTCTTTTCTATGCTTGGCTCCATGGCTGTTCAACCTCTCCCTGAGATTAATTACAGCTTGTTGTTCGATCCGGACTCAGGGAACAAAACAAAACGAAACAAAACAAAACCCCAACCATAACCTGAGATGTTCAGTCTCGTTTAGCTGCGTCTTAATTAGTCCGATGCTTTTAATATTAATCCCACCAGAGGGATCCTGAGGTTGAGGGGGAGAGAATAGGAGATCACTTTTTGAAAAGGGTTTTGGGGATCTCCCTGTAGTCTTCCAGAGGTTGCCGAACTACAATTCCCAGCAGCCTGGTGGGCCATGAAGGCTCTTGGGAGTTGTAGTTCAATGCGGTATGGGAGCTTTAAAAACAAAACAAAACTCTAAATTTCACCCCTTTTCGTCCTTCGTTTCCGATAAACTGTTTAAAGTTCTCTTTTCCCCATTTTTCTAGCAACGGGGACCTATAGAATGAAATATGTATTACGTATAGGTAGTTCCCGCCGTTACGACCGCAAGCGGATGTGGAATTTCTGTCGCTAAGCACGGCAGGGGTTCAGCAAAGCTGGGCCTGACTTGATCGTGGCTGTTTAGTTGTTAAGTGACTCCCACACCCAGTCATTAAGCGAATCTCGTTTGTCAGATGCGGGCTGGGAAGTCCGCAAATGCCGATCGCACAACCCCGGGGCATGACAACTGTCGTACATACAGGACAGGTGCCAAGTGCTTTGATTTTAACCAGGCCACCGTAAATTGGAAGTGTGAAAAAAAACACCCAAAGCCACTTTTTTCCAGTGCCGTCGTAATGTTGAGCAAATCGTCGTATGTTGAGGATAATCTGCAAAGGCCACAACCGTATCGGATGGATAGGCCAAGTTTTGCCCGATTAGATACCGGCCTGAACTAACCAAAAAGCAGATTTCTCAATCTTAATTCATTGAGGATTAATTTCTCCACCGCCAGATGCCGCATTTGCTCGGCAACAGGGAACAGAGGGGCTTCTCCTAAAGTAGCCACAAATCATGGCTTGTTTGTTTTGCAGCTCGCAGGCTGGGTTTGCAAGCCCTCAGTGAACTACAAAGCGGCCAAGCCTCTTTCAGTGCCAGACGGGGTGAGGCCTTTTCTATACTGCAGTGTATAAATTAATCATTGCCCTGTTTTCAAAGTCTGCAATCCGTACATTGCTTAACAAACTGTGCCAAAGATCAGGGAGTTTTAAATAGAGAAGGTTATTCTGCATTACTGACCCACAAATTTAAAGATTAAACATGAGACTCTCAAGAAGAGACTGGGCTGCCATTTGTCAGAAATGGTATTGAGTCTCCCGCTTGGGCGGGGGGTTGGACTAGATTACCTACAAGGTCCCTTCCAACTCTGATTATCTGTTATCTGGTGCCTACAGGAGAACCAGGGTGGGGTGGCTCAGCCTTTGATTGGAGGAGTGATCTGATTGATACAGTTTTATGCAAGCTAGGTTCCTCTGGTGTTTAAAAATAATTTCTTGTATATAATGAAATATGTATTTGTTCTGGGTTCGCCTTTCCCGTCTGCCTTCTTCTCGGTTTCATTTCTCTTCCCGAAAAAAGAAATAAAAATAAAAATAGTTCCCCAAACCATAAGTGATTGTGTAGGTAGGGGGTGTATCTCAACATTGGCAAATTTAAGAGGGGTGGGCTTCAATTCCCAGAATTCCCCAGCTAAATATGCTTTAGATGGGTGAAACTTCAACTCCCAGTATTTCCTAGCTAGCATGCTTTAAGATGGGTGAAGTAATTCCCAGAATCCCCCCCCAACCAGCATGTTTTCATAGGGGTGGACTTCAACTCCCAGAATTCCCCAGTTAGTGTGCTTCAAGATGGGTGGATTTCAACTCCCAGAATTCTCCAGCCAGCTTGCTTTAAGATAGTGAACTAATCCCCAGAATCCCCCCAACCAGCGTGTTTTCATAGGGCTGGACTTCAACTCCCAGAATTCTCCAGCCAGCTTGCTTTAAGATAGTGAACTAATTCCCAGAATCCCCCAGCCAACATGCTTTAAGATGGGTGGACTTCAACTCCCAGAATTCCCTCACATTCTGCTGGCTAGGGAATTCTGGGAGTTGAAGTCCACCCGTCTTAAAATTGCGGAGGTGGAGAAATACTGACGTAAAGTGAACGTAGAGAGAGCTCAGGAGAGTTCCTCGATTCGCGTGGAAGGGTCTAGAGTGACACACAACAACCCTGTGAGGCACACAATGAATTCTCTTCCCAAACAACCCCCTTCTCTCCGGAACCTACCCAGGGCGCCATCTTGGATGGTGTAGCAATGTGAGCCACATTTCCAAGCGTTCGTTTCCTCGTTGAACACCGTGTTTAGGTGGATTTGGCAGATCTCCAACGTGGCTCCTTTTAGGAGGGAGATCTGGTCGTCCATGGGCAGGTTTCTGAGGGAGGAAGAAGGACCAGGATTAGAAGCCTGCCTTTCCTGCAGCCTTCCTCAAAGACGGTTCTAAAAAGAACGATGGCTTGTTTTTCAGGAGAAGAATGAATGGAGAAGCCAGGGGAAGAAAGGGGAAAAAGAGAGAAAGGGGAGGGCAGGGGAAGGGAGGAAGGAAGGAAGGAAGGAAGGAAGATGAGTAGATAAATAGATGGATCTAAGGAAAGGAAGGAAAGAAGTTGAGTAGATAAATAGATGGAAGGGAGAGAGGGAGGGAGAAAGGAAGGAAGGGAGGGAGGGAGGAAGGAAGGAAGGAAGGAAGGAAGGAAGGAAGGAAGGAAGGAAGG